GTACTTTGAAGTAGCTTTGGACTTCTCTTGCTGTTTCAATATTCTTCCTGTGCCCTCTGCTCTTGGCATGTTAGCTAGAATATGATGCTTAGAGGTTCTTCTCTGGTCATAAAGCCAAGGATAACTTTGTGCTCCTTATCTTACTGCTTCCATCTTCCAAGTGGTGGGATTACAGGTATGGACATTATGTCTAGCTCTCCCTTTGGAGAGTGTCCTCCTGGACATGGATACCCGTTTCTTTCCCTAGATTTGAAATCTTTGGGGCTATAGAGATGACTCAGTGGTTAAGAGCATATGCTGTTCTTGCTGAGGACTGAGTTTGGATCCTAGCACCCATGTCAGAGGACTCACAATCACCTGTAACTGTAGCTCTAGGGAAACCAGCACCTTCTATCTTCTACATGTACTGGCATACACATGGTTTATACTCTCACAGACATAAACCTGTGAATAAAAATACTTCTTTAACAAAAGAATCTCATTATAGATAGATGGTTGTGAGCCACCATGTGGTTGCTGGAAATTGAACTCAGGACCTCTGAAAGAACAGCCAGTGCTCCTAACCTCTGAGCCATCTCTCCAGAGCTCAGTCAGTAGAGCATGAGGCTCTTTATCTCAGGGTCGTGGGTTCAAGCCCCACATTGGGTGCCATTTCTTATGATCAATTCCCGTGAGTCTATTAAATGGGTAACAGAATTTATTAAGATATAAATTGAGGAAATACACTCATGATTACAGAACAGAGTAGATAGCAGAAGTAGTCCTCTGATCTGAGCAGGAGTGAATCCCTTCTCCAACCCCTTATAAGAGGTCACGTACAACGTCAGGAAGCACCACATCCTTTGGGCCTTATAGCCCAAGGTCATGGGCAGAGCAGATACTACTACAGAAGAAAATTTGGGTTTTTTGAGACAGGATTTCTCTGTGTAGCCTTGGATGTATTGGAAATCACTTTGTAGACCAGGGTGGCCTAGAACTCACAAAAATCTGCCTGCCTCTGGATTAAAAGCTTGTGCCACCTTTGCCTGGCAGGTGCTATAATTTTGGTTGAATACATTTTCTTTGCCTTCAATTTGTATCTCAGTTCCACCTTCTAGAATACAGGTTCATTGGTTTTGTCTCTGTGTTCTAGATGTCTTTGTTGTTGTTGTTATTTTGAGACAGAGTTTCTCTGTGTGTCCCTGACTATCCTGGAACTCCCTCCGTAGACCAAATTGGCCTTGAACTCAGATCCACCTGCCTCTGCCTCCTGAATGCTTGGATTAAAGGCGTGCACCGCTACTGCTCAGCTGCCTTAAAGATCTTAAATGCTATGGTTATGATTTTTAAAATTACTATCTAAATGTAATATTTCTTTAGCCTTGTTTTCAACCCCTGATATTTTCTACTAGTTGGTCTATTTTACTGTGATGCCTTCCTTTTTCTTTCTTTCTTCCTTCCTTCCTTCCTTCCTTCCTTCCTTCCTTCCTTCCTTCCTTCCTTCCTTTCTACAGGGTTTCTTTGTGTAGACTTAGTTGTCTGTAGATGAAATTCTAAACAGTCTTAGTAAATAAGAAACACAGAACCAAATACAGAGTTAAAGCCAAAGAGATCAGAGCAAGAGCCACGACTACCTTATCTGACCACCTTGCCACCATCACTTCCCCTGGGAGAGAGATCTTCTTCCTGTGTGACTTGTCTTTTTATTGCCTTTCTGTTCTGCCTTCTCATTGGCTCTAAACCCAACCACATGACTTCCTCATCACTGCCTGTCTATACAGACCTCCAGGTCTCTATGGTTGGTACTGGTATTAAAGGTTCGGGTCACGATGCTTGGCTGTGTCTTTGACCACACAGAGATTCTGCCTGCCAAGTGATCAGATTGAGGGCGTGTGCCACCACCGACAGACTTCTGCTTAATGGCTCGCTTTTACCTCTGATCTCCAGACAATTTTATTTATTAACATACAAATAAAATCACATTTGAGCACAAATAAAATATCACCACAGTTGTCCTGGAACTCATTCTTTAGACCAGGCTGGCCTTGAACTCAGAGAACCACCAGCCTCTGCCTTCCCAGTGCAGGGACTAAAGGCGTGAGATGCATCACTACTGCACAGTGTGGTGCTTTCCTTTAACTTCATTGTTATTATTAGTTTCCATTTTTTTTTTTTTTTTTTTGGTTTTTTCGAGACAGGGTTTCTCTGCGTAGTTTTGTGCCTTTCCTGGAGCTCACTTGGTAGCCCAGGCTGGCCTCGAACTCACAGCGATCCGCCTGGCTCTGCCTCCCGAGTGCTGGGATTAAAGGTGTGCGCCACCACCGCCCGGCTAGTTTCCATTTTTTATTTTAAGTTTTTTAGCTCTTTAGTTGATTTATTAATATTCTTGAGCTTTTGTAATTTTTGAGATGGGGGTCTCATTTAGCCTTTAATTCCCACTACTGTCTCCCAAATGTTGAGATTATAGGCATGTTGTACTATGTCTGGCTTTATTCACCTTTTCATTCACCAAAGTTCCATGTTTTCAGCATTTCTATCTTTTTTGCTGAAGTTCTTGTCCAAGTCTTGACTTTATCATTTAGGTCTTTTTTGTTGTTACTATTAAACAACAAAACATTCTTAGAAACTACTTAAAACCTTTCACCATTCCTTATCGAACTCACAAGATAGTCTGCACACAAATTGCAAACTTGGGGAATTTTCATTAAGGAAAGATGAGTTTACTGTAATCTGATCTTTTACAAAGTTTTTTTTTTTTTTTAAAGATTTATTTATTTATTATGTATACAGTGTTCTGTCTGCACATATCCCTGCAAGCCAGAAGAGGGCATCAGATCTCATTACAGATGGTTGTGAGCCACCATGTGGTTGCTGGGAATTGAACTCAGGACTTTTGGAAGGGCAAGCAAGTGCTCTTAACCTCTGAGCCATCTCTCCAGCCCCTCTTTTACAAAGTTACTGCAAGGGTCAGCAAGATGGCTTAGTGGGTACAGACGCCTGCTGCCAAGATTAATGACCTGAGTTTGATTCTCGCACCCACGAGTTAAAAAGAGAGAAACAATTCCCACAAGATGTCCCCTGAACCCCACTTGTGCACATCTCCAATAAATAATTTTGTTTGTTTTTTGGTTTTTCGAGACAGGGTTTCTCTGTGTAACTTTGCACCTTTCCTGGAACTCACTCTGTAGTCCAGGCTGGCCTCAAAATCACAGAGAGCCCCCTGGCTCTGCCTCCCAAGTGCTAGGATTAAAGGCATGCGCCACCACCACCTGGCCTAATAAATAATTTTTTAAAGTTATTATATGTTATTGACAACATACTTCCTCTTTTATTATGTATTATTATGGTATGAATATGTATGATGTGGGGGTATGTACATGTAGTGGTCAGATGCAGACTATTGCAGTTAGTTCTAGCCTTCTACTTTTTTTTTCCAGAGACAGGGCTTCTCTGTGTAATTTTGGTGCCTGTCCTGGATCTCGCTCTGTAGACCAGGCTGGCCTCGAACTCATAGAGATCCACCTGGCTCTGCCTCCCGGGTGCTGGGATTAAAGGCGCGCGCCACTACCACCTAGCACCTTTTCAACTCTTGAAGCCAAATTTGCTTTATCTGTCACCCAAGGGTTTCTGTACTAGGAGGCCCCTGGGAAAAAAAATGAAAGACTGACCTTGGGCTACAAAGGGAAGTAAACCAGGTTTGAGGCATGCTTTGTCTATTTACAGCCTAGGATTAACTTGTTCTTACAGCAGCAAAGAATTTCCAGAAACATGCTGCTTTCTATCTCCCCCCTACCTCCGTCCTTTTCAAGAGGGTGCTGGACTGCCTTTAGACATCAGAACACATTTGTAAATCCCAGAAAGATAATCCAAATGGAAATTTATGTGTATTACACAGTGATAAAAACTTCAGATGCTTCAGAGCTTTTCAGAAGAGTTGATTGGAACAAGGTGAAGAGTATGGAAGAGTCTCAGAAGTCAAGCTGGTGAGTAAGAATGGAAAATGGAGAATATGTCAAATTTGTGTTACCTTTTTTGGGATCATCTGTGTCATATCTGAATTCCCAAATAGATAGTTTGGGAAAGCACACCTGAATGTTGATAACCTAATTTGTTCTGAAAGTAGCCATATCTGATATGTAGAGGTGTGAAAGCCCAGAAGTGAGATGGAGTTCAGAAGAGAATTTTTATACTATTAATTTCATGAGGAAAACAAAATAAAGCTTTTTTAAAAAATAGACCTATTTCCCTAATATTTTCATCTTTCACCCATATTCACTTCTGGGCGGGGGGGAGAAAGAGCCAAGGGAATGTAGTGAAGAAAGACAACTACAGAGCTCATAGGAAAGTGGAGAGTACTTGCTAACAATCTCCAACTCCAGGGAGAAAATCCTGTAACCTTAACCTGCGCCAGAGTGTCAGTGATTAAAAAAAAAAAAAAAAAAAAGCCCCCATCCTCAGCCCCATTCCCCCGAGACTCTGCTACTCTTCAAGCTAATTCTGAAGACAGTTCGAACAACCGAAAGCGCTAGGTGGGTAGGGATGAAGGGCGAAGAGCAAGAATTATATGGCTCGCATCAACTCAAGGGAGAATAACTTTTTTTGGAGGCGACAGCCGTGGTAGCATTGACTATCGGCAGCAACGAGCTTACGCCAATGTAGTCTTTTATATCCGCATCATATCATTCCCGGTAAGTTTTGATATTATCCCAAACTGAGAGTGGCTCAGACTGTATTGTACAGATTCGTGTGTGTATTTGGTGGCTTATGAATACAAATCCATTCACATGGACCCACCACTTCCAGACAGATTCCGGCCTGGGATTTTTATTTTTAATCCCACTTATTCCTGAACAGGTCCTCTGTAGCAAATGCACCTTATTCAATAGGCAAGAATCACTGTTTAGTATCCGTCGCAGGGAAAGAACAACAGGGCTCACAGCGGAACTTTGCTGCGGGTGGCTCGTGTTCCCGTCCGGGTGGCCGGGTGAGCGGGACGGGAGGGGGAAGCTTTCTGGTGCGGACCGCGAGCGGAGGCTGAGAGCGCCGCCGCCGGAGAAGACCGACCCTCGGCCAGAGCCAGCCCGCGGCGCCCGGGCCTGGCTGGCTGCTTCCCGCCTCAGCCGCTGCTCCGGCTCCCGCCGCCGCAGACACCGTCCAGGCGGCCGCGGCGGAACGCGAGGTCCTTCGGCCCAGCCCGGTCCGGTGCGGCCCGGATCCGTGGCACGGGAGGTGAGAGCCCCTGCGGTCCCCTTACTCCCTGCCGGGGCCGCTGGGACCGGCAACAATGGGGACGCGGCCAGGGTCCCCGGCGTGCAGCAGCCTGGGGCAGCCAGCCACTCCTGACGGCTTGGGCCTTGGGGGAGCTGAGTCCGACCTGGGAAACTCCAGTGGCTGGAGGCTTAGCGGGGGTCTTGGCATCCACCCGGGGATTCAGTGGCTTGATATTTGGGGATTTCGTAGTCAAGGAAGGGAGTCGTAATTACCGAGACTTAACTACAGTGGCTGTGCGGTCTTGATGCTTGATACCGGCGCCCTAGACGCTGACCATATCGTGGCGTGGTTTGAGCGAAAGTGGTTGTAATTCGAATTTTAGGGGCCTCGGTGGCTTGGTCCCTAAAGCACACAGGGGCGCGTCCCTCCGTACCCCCTCGGGAGGTCTGGGAATGTATTAGACTGGGCTCGGGCTTGGGGAGAAGAGGCATGGAGAGTTTAGCTTCTCTGAGGTAATTGGTGACTAGTTCCTGGAAAGGCAGGAGCTTAGTTGGGCACAAAAGAGTTGAGCAAAGAGCTAGATGGATCCTTCGCGACTCAGATGTATTCGAGTTAAGAGTGGTTCTCAGGTAGGAAACTTGTCGCAGGAGTAGTGTTGGCTGCCTTGGGTTAGGATGAGGCCGACGTGAGTTGTGAGCTGGGAGGGAAGGAAGATGGCCGGCAAGCTGCTGGGGTCGAAGAATTGGCTTTATGTGGGTCATGGTGGCGGTCCCGGAGTAGAACAAGAGCACTTTGCACAGTGGGCTTCCTGATAGAGAATGACCTCTTACTGCGGAGGAGTGGGTGACTCAGATCTGTGAGATTGCTGCTCTCGCAGGCGGATGTGGCTGACTGTGTTGGTGCCTGGACTTTGAGGCTGGAGTGGGTATTTTTTTTTTTTGAGGGGGGGGGCGCGTTAATGAATTTGTTCCAGAGGAGAGGACAGTGTGGACCTTCCCTTCCTACTCCAAAGTCAAAGTGGTGGCTGTCGCTGGCAGGCGTTTAAGTAAGGAATTTCTTAGTGGTATTTGAATCCAAAGCTTTTCTCTGTTCATTTTTTCCCTTTTCCCCTCTTTATTGAACTGTGACTCATACTTTGTTTTTAGCACTGTGGCTATTGTTTGTAACGATAGACAAACTTAGACCCAATAATAATGTTGTAATCCTTGGAGCTTTCAGTACAATTCTTATAAATACAAACTAATTTAAAAGACTTCATTAATTTGTTTTCTGTTATTTTAATAAATGTAACTACAGAGGATGTGAAAAAAAAAACTTATCGTTTCTGCTGTTCAAAGCTCTTTAGATCCTTAAATCCATGAAATTTCATTGTCTCTTACTGCTGTGATTCCAGTCTGTTAAATCTTTTGTCATCATTTTAGCATCCTTGCTAACTCTCACAGGACGTTATCCTAACTATAAGTGCTGTCTTCGGTGCTTTTGATCTTTAGTTGTGTTTCCATGTCACAGTCTATAGCATTGAGAGGCAGTGAGTCTTACAGTGAGTCTTACATGTGTTTCCATGTTACAGTCTATAGCATTGAGAGGCAGTATGTAAACTCTAGCTGTGAGTCTTACAGCTGGTGGGCATCAGAGCTTTGGATGCACTATTCAGGTAAAAGTTGGTGTGTTGTCGATATGTATTAAAGGGAAAGCTATATGAACAAAGCCATATCAGGATCATTGTACCATCTGAATTTATCTAGAGTGTATAGGATGTATTGCCTATTTGCAGGCTAGTATTATGAAGTGAGAAGTGAAGTACTTGTGTACCTACCTATACTGATAGTTCTAATTCTAGGGATTTTTTTTTCTTTAAATTTAAGAATAATTTCTGTTGTCGGGTGGTGGTACCCCAGCACTTGGGGAGGCAGAGGCAGGCAGATCTCTGAGTTTGAGGCCAGCCTGGTTTACAGA